GCATTGGTAAGGATATGGAGCAACTGCAACTTGATTTACTGCTTGTGGGAGTGTATACTGGAGAACTGTTTGGCAGTATCTATTAAAGCCAAACATATGTCTACCGTGTAACACAACAAGGTACTTATCCAAGAGAAATGAGTGCACGCATCCACCAAAAGACATGCGCGAGAATGTTCATAGCAGTCTTATTTATAATAGCTCTAAACTGGAATCGATTCAAACATCCATAAAGAGGAAAATGAATAAATTAGTTATGGTTTATTCATACAATGGAATAATTTTCAGCAATAAAAAAGTAAATTATTATGACAATATGGATGATTCTCACAGATATAATGATGGGCAAAAGAAGCCAGAAACAAAGAATGACTATTATTTGATTCTATTTATATAAAGTTCAAGAACAAGCATAACTATTCTATCATGATAGAAGTTAGAATGGTGGTTACTTTTGGGGTCGGAGTATCAACTACAAGGAACCCAAAGTAGCCTTCTGGGGTGTTAGAAATAGTCTATATCTTACTCTGAGTGTTGATTACACAGGTGTTATTCATATATAAAGACTCATTGAGCTGAACACTTAAGATTTGATGTTTTCAGCAAATAATGCTACATCAATTGTATATCCACACAGAATAAAATGGGCCTGGTTTCCCACTTTGTTTCCTTGTGTATATGTAAGATATTTACAACATACAAATTAGAATCACCTTAAATTCCCAACAATGAGGAAATATTTAAAGTAAATATGATACATCCTTGTTAAAAATATGGCATTAAAAAAGTTTTAAAGAGGTTTGCTGCAAACCTCTTTAAAATGCCTACAACATTGGGTAAAAAGGGCAGACCACAGAAATTCTGTATAAAGAACGATCAAAACTATGTAAAAATGTGTGCAGAGAAAGTCTGGAAGGAAATAACACTGAAGTGTTAATAGTGGTTATTGTCTTAGGATAGTGAAATAATGGGTGGACTTATTTTTCTGCAGCTTGCAAAATTTTTGACTGTTGTAATAGCAGAATGGAATTTTAGAAATAAGTTTTTCCTTCCAAAATAAAAATTCTGCCCTTCAAGTCTTCTACCAACTGCTGCCTTGACTCATTACTTTTAAAAGCTTTTCTGTTTTCTGTTCTCCCTACAAAATGAATTTACTACTTCCTGTGGCTGGCTACACTGAAGCTTATCGCTTGCCACCTCCTCATCTTGTCCTGTCTTTGTTCCCAATTAAGAGAGAAGGCCTTTTGGCAGGATATTCTGTATTGTCAAGTTAATAAAGGATGTCCAGGGCAGGGAGGCTGTGAATGTTCCATTGCTGTTTAAGATAAGGGGTTGGTGTAAGAGTTCAGGTTTGTTTATAGGAGAAATGTGAGTTTTCATGCACCTGGTGGGTAAGCAATTATTCTAGAGTGGTGGTGAGAAACGTTTCATTTTAGATATGCTAAGAGGGGTAGCTGCAGCCTAAAGAGAATGCCTCCCCTCTGTTTCACAGGACCAGAGTTCTCCCCCATTCCCTGGGGATCCACAGATCCACAGACATGAAGCCCGCATTCTCTCTGCGGAATAGTAGCAGCAACTGGGCAGAGAAGAAACGAGCCTAGGGCTGTGACATTTGCAAGACACAAGAAAAAGGCTCCTTCTTGCAACTGTTAGAGGTTGGGGTTTAATGCTTTCTGTAAGGAGAAGGGATGGATTGAATGGGTGGGAGGGAGGAGAGGAAGGACGTGAGGATGTCATAGGAGGGAAGTGTTCCAGGTTCAGTGTGACTCCTTCTCAGCCTATAGTGTGTGTTCCTGTTGAGGAAAGGGCTTTGGAAAATGTAGGGAAGTAGCCTCCTCCTTCCTGGTCACTGAAGGAAAGAGAGGCAAAGAGCTGGTAAAAATGAGCTGCTACAGAAGATACAAGGAACTCAGGGAGCAGAATTCTAACCCCTTCGCCCTGGATTCAGCCAGAGTAGCTCCATTTTCATGTTTCACATGTTCGTATCAGTTAACATTTACTACTTAACAAGACTTCCCAAAGCTTAGTGGCTTACAACAGCAACCTTTTATTTTGCTTATGATTCTGCAGGGCAGCCATTGGGGCTGGGCTGGGCTTGGCTGGGGGTCATTTTGGTCTGGACTAGGCTTGGTTGATCTCAGCAGGGGCTCACTCAGGAATCTTTGGTCAGCTTCTGAGTAACTGAGGCTGGTGGGCTGGGATGCCTGGGTTCTCTTCTGTGTGACCTCTCATCCTCCAGCAATGGAGGAATAGCTCGGGCTCATTCATAAGGCAGCCCCTGGATTTCGGGTGCAGTATGAGAAGGCCAGCCCCAATTTATGCTCATTTCAAGTCTCTCCTTGTGTTCTGTTTGCTAATATTTCATTGGCCAAAACAGTCACACAGCCAAACCCAGATTTAAGGGAGAAACAGGCTTTATCTTAAGACTGCAAGAGCTGCACGGTTGCATTTCGGCTTGTACCCAGGGATGGGGAGAGGTTATGGTCATTTAAAATGTAGACCCTGCTCAGACCTACTGCGTCAAACCTCTGAAGAAGGGGCCTGGGCTTTGCCTCTTAATATCTGTCAGGTGATTCCCCCTCCTTCATATTTTAAAATGTTGATAGCTATAAATATTATGAGATATGTCTTTTAAAATAAAGCACAATAACATAATGTACATTTATGAACCTATCATTTCACTCAAAAGCTAGATTAACAATAATTTATTTACGTCTACCTATGTTCTTTTTTTCTATGCCTTCCCTTTTGCCTCCCACAAGGTAACATATTACAGTTTGTGTTTTCCATTCTATTAAAATTTTAAAAAATATAGTTTTCATCTGATTGGTGTCTATGCCTATACAACATATTGCTTAGTTTTGCTTCCTTTAAAAAAAAATTTGGCTCCAAGAGGAAGTTTACTGTTTTATTTCCTGATTTTTTTTATTGTGATAAAGTGTATATAGAACATAAAATTTCTGATTTTAATGAGTCTTAAGTGTACAATTCAACAGCATTAATTACATTCACAACATTGTGCAACCATCACCACTGTTTCCAAAACTTTTCATCACCCCAAACAGAAACTCTGGACCCATTAAGCAATACCTCCTCACTCCTCCCTCCCTCCAGCCCCTGGTAACCTCTACATTTTTTCTCTATGTATTTGCCTTTTCTATATATTTCATATAAGTGGAATCGTAGTTTTTATGTGTGTGTGTGTTTGGTTTCTTATTTTACTTAGCATAATGTTTTCACGGTTTATTCATGTTGTAGCATGTATCAGAACTTCATTCCTTTTTATAGGTGAATAATATTCCATCGTATGTATATGGCATGTTTTGTTTATCCATTCGTCTGTCAAAGGACACGGACTGTTTCTACCTTTTGGTTATTGTGAATAATGCCACAATGAATATTGGCATAAAATGATCTTTTTGAGTCCTTGCATTTAATTACTTTGGGTATTTACTTAGAGGTGAAATTGCTGGATCATATGGCAATTGTTTCTTTTTGAGGAACCATCGGACTGTTTTCTACCAGCAATGTATGAGAATTCTACATTTTCTACATCCTTGCCAACACTTAATAGATATTTAACTGTGGCCGTTCTACTGTGGTGTCTCACTGTAGTTTTAATCCACATTTCCCTAATGATAATTTCTAGTGACGTTGAGCATCTTTTCATTTGCTTATTGGCCATTTGTATATCTTTGGAGAAATGTCTATTCAAATCATTTGCTTATGTTTTAACTGGATCTCCTTTTTATTGTTGCTGTAGGAGCTGTTTATATGTTCTAGTTCTTAAATTCTTATCAGATCTATGATTTGCAAATATTTTCTCCCATTTGGAGATTGTCTTTTAGCTTTCCTGCTATTGTCTTTTGATGCATAAAAGTTTTTAATTTTGACAAAGCCCAATTTATCAATTTTTTATTTTGTTGCTAATAGTTTTGGAGTCATATCTAAGAATCCATTGCCAAGTTTTGCTTGGTTCTGAGCTCTAAGACAGTGGTATCGTTCTGAAAGTGATCTTCTGAACTTGCAGTTTTCTTTCAAAACTATGTTCTTCCATAGTTCATTCATTTTCATAGCTGTATAATATTCCACTTTAGGACCATACTATATACATAATTTACCCATTCCTCTATTAATGGACATTTGTGTTGTTTCCAGTTATTCGGCTATTACATCGGTGCCACCAAGGATATCCCAAAGTGATTCTTTTATGCACTCTAAGACCCACTTAGCTCTTTTTTTTTTTTTTTTTCTTAAGGAATAAAGCAATTGAATAGCATTTGGGATACACAGGTGCAGACATTTGACTGAAACATCGAAATTTTCTCGTCTGCCTACTTGGATTAATTACTGGACTATAAAACCATAATAACACTGTCACTGAGTACAGTGTACGTCAGTCTGTGCTTCAGCTTTAATCATTTTCCATGATGTCTTACAAAAAGCAATCAGAGAAGACACAATAAATACATTTTACTGATTTCAGGTTGGAGAGCTTTTAAGCAATAGGGAGATGTCAACAGAGAATAGGGGAAATGATTGTGAAAAGGAAACACTTTCTTTAGAGCCCCATCTCAGCCAGGTTGCAGGAGTGTCTATAAGAGATTTGAAATAACTCAAAGAAGAGCTTTTTTTCAATGCTGAATATCCTCCAAAACAAAGAGATACAGATTGACGGTTCCTCCCCCAGTCCAGCACAGTGGCTGATTTCGGGAAGCTCTTTGGCAGCTACCTGAGGTCATAATGTGGCCAGGTTTATTTGAGGTTTGTAGAACAGCAGGGGGAAACTTAAGCATGAAGCAAGAGCTCAACACTTAACAGAGATGTTTGTGGCTTTGTTACCGGAAAATGCCAGTGACCTTAACAAGGCCAAAGTTGTGTAGACACAGGAATTACAAAATCAAGAAGTGGGTGGGATGTGGAATGAGATATTACAGGCATAAAAGCATCAGCAGGTGGACCCCACAGCACTGTTCTTCCAGAGGCAGAACAAACCAAAGATGAGGTGAGTCCACGGATCTGCCCATTCCCCCCTCTTCTCTTGTTCCTTCTTTGCATATATCTTTTATCTACATGACAGGCCAGGTACAGAGGCCTAAAGGAGAGACGTAGAAGTATAACAACAGCAAATGGGCTAAATTACAGTGAATTAAAGGGTGTAGTGTTTTAAATCCTCTGCTTTTCTGCATTCATAAAAGATAATGCTTTCAGATACTGCTGTCTTTGCAGACCTGACTTACTCTGAGGAGTATCTTTTTCCTTGAGGTATGAAGTTTTCATCTTCATAGATGACAGTAGCTCCCATGGTGGGCTTCCTAGCATTTTGAATATATTTCTTAGCAGGTTTTTTTCTTTTTAAAAAATGTATAAGACAACCAATAGTGACACATTTGATTGGCACAATTAAGGCACTTAGGTTTTGTAAAAATAAAAAGGTTTTTTTAAATGCTGAAACAGCAAGACTAGAAGCTTACAACCAAGCAATCTCTGACTAGCTGACATCTGTCAGTGGGATGGTTGCCTGGTAGATGTGGCCTGTGCATTGATGGCCAGTCATGCTTTCAGGAAGCTGGTTATCTTCCAGGTAACCTTCGGGCATTTAGGAGTTTGATATACCATTTCTTGAAGGCAAATTATCATAAAATAAGAGAAACAGCTATATATTTTAAATGAAATATTTAAAAAAACTTTTTCTTATGGAAAATTTCAAAAAGTAGAGACCAGTATAGTGAACCCCCACGTTCCCATCTTCAAGTTTTCCATTTTATTTGCAGTGTCCTTGTAGCACAGGACTTGAGAGGTGCCTGAGGGAAGGTACTCTTTGCTGGAAAGCTCGTTTTACCAATTTCATGTCTTCTGTATGCTGCCAGAAATTGCAGCCCGCACACTGTGTGCCTTCCTATCTCGGTGGTTCCTCTCTGAAGCTTATGTAGAATTCCCACAGCAGAGAGCTTGTTGAACCTGGGTGTACTGGGAAGCTGTAAAGAGTGTGTGTGGGTAGGTGGAGGACAACTTCTTGGTCCTAGCACTTCTATATATCTACTTTCTTTGCTGGCTGCCTAATGGGAGGAAGGGAGGGAGCGGGTGTGTGTGTGTGCGCGTATGTGTGTGTGTGTTGTGTGTAGGGAGACTAGCAGTGTATGAGAATTCTAAATTTTCTACATCCTTGTCAACACTTAATATATATTTAACTGTGGCCATTCTAGTAGGTGTGAAGTGGTCTCACTGTAGTTTTGGTCTGCATTGCCCTAATGACATTCTCTAGTGATGGTGAGCATCTTTTTGTATTGTGTGTAGTGTGTGTGCAGGGAGATTAGCTTTGCACTTCTTCCTGTCTTCTCTCTGCAGGGCCCTGGGTGTTCTCATCACCCTCCTGCTCTGCGGGCAGCTTTTCGCAGTGGATGTTGGCAGTGAGAGCACAGATAATCCAGTTGGCAATGAGAGCACAGATAATCCAGTTGGCAATGAGAGCACAGATAATGCAGTTGGCAATGAGAGCACAAGTAATGCAGGTAGGTCTTTGGGTATGGGCAGGAGCTGTACATCCAGCACTGCTGTGTCTGAACCTATCAGATCTGCACCCTCTCTTCAAGAACACCCAGATCCCCTCTTCTCATCTTTATCTCTGGTCTTTCAATACCATGGAGAACAGTGAGGAGCCAGCCAGAAATAAGGGGACATTACCATCCCCTTGGCTTCCATTTGGAGTGGAGGGATGCTGACATGCAGAGCAGCTTCCTCTCATCTAACTTTCCAAGGGTCTCTGGGAGCAATTTCCAAATATTAACCTCCTTTTCCTATTTTTCTTTGCAGATGACAGCTGTCCAAAGCCCCCCGAGATTGCAAATGGCCTTGTGGAGCACTCAGTTCGCTATCACTGTAAGACCTACTACAGACTGCGTACTGAAGGAGATGGTAAGAGCTGGGTAAATGTCCCCACAACGTCCCCTTCCTGGCACTTCCATGATGAACGGGCCAGGAGTGGTTGGCCAGAAAGTTCAAGTGTTATCCTTGGATCCAGACTTAGATTCTAATAAGGATTTTGTTACCAGTAGCTGTGGCCTTTTGAGAAAATTGACTTTGCTCAGTCCCAAGTTTTGTCTTTTGCTAAGGGGAGGTGATGCCACATAGGCTACCCATCTCAGTGAGAGCTACATCTATAAAATGAGATGTGGCAAAACAACAAATGATGGTGACGGTGATGACAATACGTAGTCTTTACTTTAGTGAATACTGTGTTCCCGGCATTGTTCTAAGTGCTTTACATTTATTTGCTCGCACAGTCCTCACAACACCCTCTACAGAGGTACTATTATTATTATTCGCTTATGAGGAAACGGAGGCACAGAGAGGTTGAGTAACTTGCCCAAGATCGGGTAGCCTGTAAGAGGTAGGGTCAGGATCTGAATCTTGATGCTTCCCCTGCACTGCCATGACCACAGTTCTGTCATGCTGGACTTCACTGGTGCCCAGTACTTGGATTCTAGTACAGTGCTCTTCCCTTCCTCTTCCTCTGCCCTTTCCTTATTTTCCTTCTCCTCCAATTCTCTTTAAATATCTTCTCTCTCCACACTAGGTCCAGATTCAATTTCCCTTTTAGCTCATTTCTTTCCTTTTGTTTCAGGAGTGTACACCTTAAACAGTGAGAAGCAGTGGACAAATAAGGCCATTGGAGAGAAACTTCCTGAATGTGAAGCAGGTAGGAAGCCGAGAGCCCTGGGAAGCAGACCAAGGATGGGTGCTGAGGGTCCAGCGCTTGGGCAGGCATCTTGGTTGGAATATTGTAGAGGCACATCTCTCCTGTGTGGCTTCTACTGAGCATACACAAGCCAAGAGAAGGGACCAGGGAGAACCACAAATGGCCAGGTGGAGAACTGAGCAATTAGGTGATGATTCCCCAGTAAAGTTCTCCAAGGATCTTATTCATTTGGGTCTGCGGGGCACTGACTGAATCTACTGCCCCAGAGGATCAGGAGATCCTGTGTGTACAGGAAGCCTGCCTAGAGAGCCCAGGGTCAAGGGAAAAGCCAGCTCCAGGAAGAACAAGTCAAGGGAGGACATAACAAATCCTTGATCCATGGAAGCATGACAGGAGGCTAGAGATGGATTAGGACTTTTGTTTCTTGTTATTAGGAAGAGCTACTGCTCTCTCCTTTGCCCTCTCAGAACAAGAGGATTTTGCCTACCCTCTTCTGCTATTAGTGATGTAGAACTAACCTGCCTTGTATTAATTGCAGTATCTATAAAATCTGAGTTGTAGCCAATACCGCTACAGATCCCTCTTTATTCAGAGAGAATGACTTAGTATAACTCCTTGCCCTTACAATGCATTTCAAAGAATTGTGGACATGTTCTTGCGACAAACTGCTTAAATGAACGTACAGTTCATCAGCCAAGGTTTGAAAAACAGCATTGTTTCTTTTGTGAGTTAGGAAAGCAGGAAATCAAACTGTCTTAGTGATGGAAACAATTTTTTAAAAAAGGACAATTTTAAACTGTAAACACTGGAAACGAGAGGACGGATGGTAAGGGCAAAACATGTAAATATTCCTAGCTCTGAAAACATGAACCAGGATAGTTTAGACAGCTGCGACAGCCAATGCCTTTACCCCTCTCCCAGACCGAGACACTCACGTTTCTGCTGATTTCCTTGTTCTTCCTGACAGTGTGTGGAAAGCCCAAGTTCCCAGTGGATCAGGTCCAACGGATCCTGGGTGGATCAGTGGATGCCAAAGGCAGCTTTCCCTGGCAGGCTAAGATGATCTCACACCACAATCTCACCTCGGGAGCCACACTGATCAGTGAGCAATGGCTGCTGACCACGGCTAAAAATCTCTTCCTGGGGCATACAGATGATGCAAAAGCCAAAGACATTGCCCCTACTCTAAGACTCTATGTGGGGAAAAATCAGCTTGTGGAGGTTGAGAAGGTGGTTTTCCACCCTGACTACTCCAAGGTCGACATTGGTCTCATCAAACTCAAACAGAAGGTGCCAGTTGGTGAGAGTGTAATGCCCATTTGCCTACCTTCAAAAGATTATGCGCAAGTGGGGCGCTTGGGTTATGTGTCTGGCTGGGGGCGAAATTCCAACTTCGCTTTCACTGAGCTACTGAAGTACGTCATGCTGCCTGTGGCTGACCAAGACAAATGTGTAATACACTATGAAAAAAGCACAGTGCCCGAAAAGAAGGAACCAAAGAGCCCTGTAGGAGTGCAGCCCATACTGAACGAACACACCTTCTGTGCTGGCCTGTCCAAGTACCAGGAAGACACCTGCTATGGCGACGCTGGCAGCGCCTTTGCCGTTCATGACACGGACGACGACACCTGGTATGCGGCTGGGATCCTGAGCTTTGATAAGAGCTGTAACGTGGCTGAGTATGGTGTGTATGTGAAGGTGCCCTCCATCCTGGACTGGGTTCAGAAAACCATGGCTGACAACTAATGCAATGCTGGCTGGAAGCCCTTGCCTGGACGCAAGGTTCCTCGGTGGAAGAGGGAAAGCTGGATGGGAGTGGAGGGGATAAAACATGGTGTGAAACTGATGGTTTCCGGCCCTGCATGGCTGGGTCAATCAATAAAGAACTTTGTTTTGACTCATTTATGTTGTTATTTTTTTAAGTCTTGAGCCTTTTTATCCTCATTTATGGTATGGCAGCAGCCAAGTGGCACGGAGTCTACTGGGAGTATGGCAGAAAACACCCCAGGCCAACTGGAAATCCCTAATGTGATACAAACTTTCCCACTGTGGCCACCCACTCATTGAGTGCCTACTGAGACAGGCCTCAGAAAGGTCATCGTTATCTTTGTTTTACCAACAAGTGAACAGACTCACAGAAGTTAAGTGATTTCCTTAAGGTTACACAGATATTAGTGAAGCTGAACCTTGAACCTAGATCTGTCTGAATACAAACTGCATCCTGGTGAGGAAAGTGCTAGCTCAAAGTAGGATGAAAACAAGTGTTCGGTACCTTATCATTTGTATTCCAACACACCAGCACTTCAGAAAAGATGGTGCAAAGGCAGGATCTCTGGACTTGCTGGGTCCAAATCATAGCTTGGCCATAAATTTGCCAATTGACTTAAACTCCCTGCCCATCAGTTCCCTGGTCTCTTCTATGAGGAGCTTAAACCAGATAATCTCTAAAGTTCCTACCAGCAATGACATCCTGGGACTTGGTAAAGGGTGAGTCATCTTTCTGGGATTTGCCTCTTTTAATAACTTTATGAAGAATTCTCTCTCTTCCAGGGTCCCCTGGCACAACTTGCCACCACTTGGGCAAGTTGCTACTTTTCTCAAAACCTCATGAGGGCTATTGGTACTGACTTTCCAGAGTGAGAGAACAGATGCAGAGCTGGAGGGCAGTGGGCCAGGCAGCATGTGACCTGGATGGCAGCCACTGACTTTCTTGCCTACAGAAGCCCAGTTCTGTGCAGGGTGGCACTGTCACTGCAAGCCTATCTCTCCTGCCAGATGCTTCCTTTCCCAGCCTTTTCTCCAGGAAGAGGTGACCATGCAACCTGGTTCTGACTGATGTGGCATAGAAAGCAGGCTGTTGGGTGCTTTTGTGTCCTTCGCTGATGAAAAAAGAACCCCAGGAACGAGACCAAAAAAACCTCTTTTACCACCACCTCCATTTTCTCTTCTCCCCCTACTTTTATGGTAATCATGATGCACGGAACTGCAGCAGCCATCTTAGACCATGACCGGCACTGGGATGAAGAACAGATATGCAGATAACGATAAAAAGAACCTGGTCCATGATGATGCTATTGAGCTACTGAGTGAACTCTAGTCCTGCCCGTCCCACCCCCCAGACTTCTATGAATAAAACATCATTGCCTGTCACTGTTAGTTGGGTTTTGTCACAGTCTAAGTCATATAGTATATGACGTGTGGCAAGTGCTCAGATACTAGCAAAAACTCAAAATGTGCATGAATAAAATTCTATCTTCTTTCCTCCTGAGAGCTTCAGGGAATGTTTCTCTGAAGTCCTGATTTGTTTTTGTTCCTATATTAGTTGCTTTCTATTCCTTAAGTACTGAGTGCACTTTGTATTGAGTGCATATTGTATGCCTCAACCTATTTTGGATGCTATGTAAACAGGAATAACTCCTGGATGGTAGTAAAAAAGGCTTCGAAGAGGGAATGCCTGAACCTTAAAGGAGAGAAAGAGGTACTCCTGCAAAGAGGAAGGGCATTTCAGGAGGGGGCCCCAGGGGGAAGAAGGTCCCAGGGCTGGAGGTGGCAGGGAGTGTTCAGAGAGCTACACAGAGTGCAGAGTCACAGAAACCCGAGTGGGAGGGCGGGAGATGCTGCTGGGGAGGAAGGCAGAGGAGAAAATTAAGAAAAGGCCAAAGGTTTTTCTTGTATTATTTTTCTCCTGAGAGGTGACCAGAAGCCACTTAATACACTCATGTAATTCTTCAAGAAAACTGGGGTGACATATTCTTCACGAAACTTAGTGCTGACGATACTGCCAGAAAAAAATGTGTAACTGTATTCCAAGCAGCTTTTTAATATGTTTGTATGATTTTTCAGTTTCTGGCTATTCTCTTTCACAGATCTAGAATACAGGTCTAAGTCCTTCGTGGATCTACTAGCTTTAATCTGTTGAAAATTATCAATGGATCTGGAGAGTTCATGTGAGAACTTCACAGTGAAGGCCAGACTGATGAGAGAATAGTGACATCAGGTGGCATTTTACACCATGAAAAGGAGAGGCCATATTTTAGTATGATAAGAAGGTATACTGGGGACAGGTCAGAGTACTGAAGGGTTATAGCAGAAAAGAGTTCAGTTGGAAGAGCTGCCTGTTTGCAAGTGTTCCGGAACCTTCATCTGGGAGACCCTTAAGAGCAAGACCTTTATCTTTGTGAAATGGAAGCCTCAAACGGCTTGCATTCGACTCCTGGTAAAGGGTAGGTTTCTTCCAAGTGGGAAAAGCAGCCCCTATTCTTTCTAGCGTCTCTTTCTAGTCATGAGCCCTTGAAGCACAATTTTGTCTCAGGAAGAGGTGGAACTCTGACTTCTGGGAGAGATCTGTTCCTACTTACTAAGGATAGTTAAATTTTTGTTTAGCTCAAACTGGGTGCTAGATAGTGTTAATTCTTTTATTTTAAGCTCAAATTGGGAACTCAAATCTCACTTCTTGGGCAATTTAATAACGCAGAAGGTAGTAAATTTGCAAACCAAGACACTGTTTTCAAAGTCTGAGCCAGAAAGACTCCAAAATAAAACAAACTTGCCTGCTATCAGTAAACAATTATTCACTCCAAGAGAACCTGGGACAATTAGGACTGGAAATAAGACAGCATGAGGAAAATAAATCTATGAGGAATGAGGAATGGGTGAGCATGACGCAAACAGGGGTGTGTATACGTACACATCTAGAGAAGAAAATAAGTATTTCTGCTCTCATGGCAACTGATCTTCCATTTTACTTGTGTATCAAATAAACAGTTAAATCAAATAGTATTAGCCGATGTTTAGAATTCAGCATTATGTTAAGGGATAAAGAAAAGCACAATATAAAGAGAAGTCAAACAAATCATGCTGGGGAAATTGACCACGGCTGACTCGACTGCTCTGCACAGAGTAAACACTCAGGCTTCCCAGATCGTCACAGTCCTGGTGGGGTCTTCTACTTGGGGCTGGTACTTTCTATACGAGTCAAATCTCTCCTCCACTGGGACACTCAACGCGTTTCCAAAGGATTCCAGAATAACAGCACAGCTGTGTTCAGGCAGTTTTGAGATGTGCCTTTCTCTTCACCTCTGACAGTGGAGAACATGCTAAATGTCTTGATAGAGAAGGTCATATTTGGGAATATTCTGGGGATCGATAGGACTTTGGACAATAAGTTTTCCCCTCATTGCTCCTCGATAAATTACTTCAATCAAATCTATGAAGTCTTGTTTGGTTTTGAAACTTCCCACAAACTTAGTGTGATCTGGAGACCTAAGTAGCATAGAAGAGAAATAACCTTGCTCAGAAATTTTAATAATGACTTGCCGAAGACCTCCAGGATAAACAAAATGAATAGGAGCTCTAGGACTCTTCTTGTCAGGGAGACTCTAGACACAAGGTCCGACACTGATTCTTCCATTCGCGATTATGGTGCCCATTTGATAGATGGCTAAAACCAGTGCTGCGGGCCCCTGAGACAGCGCGTAAGCCCTATCATGTGAAAAGCTTCTGCTCAAAATCTGTTTTAATCACTTCTCATTATCAATTCCCTGAGTGTTGGTGTGGGCATAGTTTTGTTGTTGTGTTTGACTAGGCACTGTGCAAAGCTCACTAACTAGTCATAGTCTTCAAGTTCCAGTCACTTCTACTTTTCAGTAGTGGATATTATTATTACTATTTTTTTACTATTTCAAACATTAAGTATGCATACTGTGTAAATTTTTTTTTTTTAGGAAAAATAACCAGTAAGGCCAGAGGCCACATTTCAGTGGCTATGCTAATCACACGTATGGATATATATGCATTTCTTTTTGTCCCAATAATGGGAATCATATCATATATACTATTTTGTAATGTGCTTTTTTCAACTAACATATGAATATCCATGCAGCCAGTTTTTCCTAGTTTTAGGATTATTTTCATTCAGATAAATTCCTGGAAATGAAATTGCTGGGTTAAAAATTTTACATGTTTTTAAGGTGTTTAGTATGTAGTGTCATAGACTGCCCTCTAAAAAGATTGCACCAAATTAATACTTACATCAACTGTATTCCAGAATAAATAGCTTTAGAATACTTAAAACATAATATAACCTTTTACACACTTTCAAACTGATAATGACAAAGCAGGTCTAGAAAAGTAAACATCTCAACCACATTAAGAAATGATAACAATTCTGGATATATTCAAAGTAAATATTAAGTACTCGAATGCTGATTGAATGGAGTGGAAGGCATTAAAGAGATTTCATGTTACTTATTCTTGACAGGCTTTGCTGAAGAATAACTTCGAAATTCTCTGAGTGGCAGGAGATAGGAAACTTGGCAATAGAGAAGCATGTCTTAGTTTGCTGGAATACTTTTTTAATAAATGCAACCTACTAGTCCCAAAAGTCTAAGAATGACATACTTTGTTTTAAATGAAATTCCTGGGAAACTTTTAAGAAAATAATTCTGTATTTTCTAGACTGAAGGATGGGTAATGCCTCATGACTTATATTATTCTTTCAAACTTAAGTAGGAAATTAAAATTTGCCAATCATACCAGAACACTCATTTTACATCAAGTTTCACGTAAAAAATTGGAGAGTGCATCAACTAAGGAAACACTACCAATACAAGATTCACAGGGTCACCACTGCATACAAATCGGTGAGTTACCGAAACTACGTAAGGGAAACTTTTTAGACTGCAATAACTTCATATCGACCTAACTTACCCATAATCCACTTTCATATGCTGCCCATTGAAGAAAAACACAGTAGATGGAATATAACTGATGTCAAAATAGTGTGTATAAACTGGAGTTTGGTCCACATCTACCAGATATATAGCAGCCATTTTACTCAAGTCAGAAGACGTCTTAGAAAGCTGCAAACAAGGAAAGAGAAGTAGGTTACATTATGAGAGGCAGCCAGTGTTTCTTCTGTGAAACTTTTTAATAGAATATTCTGTTTGAAAAAAATTCCTGGGCCAAGAATCTAGCCTGTTTGAATTCCACATTAGACACAGTATATTATCACTCAGAGTCTGAATCATTGTTGGTAGGGTTATGAAAGGGCCCAAGGTAAACTGTGTGAATATATTCCTTCATTTCTTTTCTATTTCTTATTGTAAAGTTTTTATAAACTATTTAATTTATAAAACCCATACTCAAACAAATAAAAAACACAACTCATGTAAACATGTACTGCACTGAAATTCTCCCAAATCTCTTTCCTTCCAATCCCCTCTCCAAATGATAATTATAAACAAAAAGCAAATACTTACATGGTACTTATGTGCTAACTGTCCTAAGTACTTTATACTTTTAATCCATTTAATCCTTATAACACTCCTACAAGATATGCATTATTATAGTCCCCATTTTATAGGTGAGGAAACTGAGGCACAGGGAAGTAATCTGCTCCTGGTCACACAGCCAGTAAGTAGTAAGGCTGGGGTTTGAACTCAGGCAGCTTGGCTTCAGAGTGTGTACTCTTGACCTCTAGTGCTAGTCTTCCTCTACATCTGAGGGTATAATTCCGTGGCTCTTTCCCGCCTCTGGAGTAACATAACATAATCTCATTTAATCACAGTACATTGGATTCTTACATAGCATTCACATAGTGGGTGTCAGCAATAGAAATGATGGAAGAAAACTCAGTTCTAGGGTCTCTCTCCATGACAAAAAGAGACAAGAATAAACCTATTTTGTCCTATGCTGCCCTCCTTTCTCATCAGAGTGTGAAGATGTGTTGTGAAGTCAGAGACTGTCATCAGGCACACACTGGAGCAGCACACTGGTAAAGCATATTTGCAGGAAAAGAAAACAAAGTTCAAATCCCAGCTCTACAATTTCTAGTCCTGTGCCTGTGGGAGGTCACTTGATATCGCTGGCATTCCTCTCCCCCCAGGGAACAGTAATTGTAATGTTCCCAATGTTGTGAGCACTGAGTAAGATGATGTTCATAGAAGCTTGTTAACTATGTTTCTGGTCTTCTACTGCATTGTTGGTGGAGTGGAGCTTTGACAGCTGCTAGTGGGGAAGGACATCCAAGACAGATTGAGCACAGTCACAGATTTAGGGGTTCAGCAATTAATGAAAGCATGCTAACAAACGAACAGCTATATCTCTAGGCCCTGGCTGTGCCCTTTCATGTACTTTGCATATGTTGAAGTGAGAGTGTATAGGTTTTTAATAAAAACCATTTATTTAAAAAATTCACTTACAATATCATCTAGCTGCAGACAAACAGGATCCTCGTCTCTCCCAAACCTGAGAACCAACACCTTCTCTGCAGTGCTTTTTATCGCTTGGTCAACTTCTTTTTTGCTAGTCAGCTTGGGCAACAGGAAGCTCATCTTGAAATGATCCAAATATTAATCCTCACTGTCGGTCCTGAAATAAAGTTGCAGTATTTAAAGGCAGATCAAGTGCGTGAATCCTAATTTAAAAAAATAATTTAATTTTGGAGTAGGTAATATGTATGTTTTTTTCCAGGGGAAAAAAGGATTTCATACAACACAGTATTAAAAAAGGAAAAAGAACAAACTAAATGCACAAATAGGTGGCAAATAAGTCCACCAGTTTAAAAAGCAACAATATAGAAAGGTATACTATGAAAAATCTCCATTCCTCTGTCTTCTCTCAGTTGGCCTATTCCCACTGCCCCTTTCTCCTCATACCAGGTAACACTTTCATTAGTTTCTCATGTATCTTCTAGAGTTTTGTGATGCATTCACTAGAAAATATAAATATGCATTCTTGTTTTCTCATTCTTTTACCCCCCCCAAAGTAGCCTTTTCCACCAGTGTTTAAACAGGAAAGAGGCGAAATCCTCAAAATTGGTCCTTTGAAGACACTTCCATTAAGGAAGGGTATAGGAAAACTGGGTTCAGTGCTATATCCTGGGGCTAGTAACAGTGGAATGCTGTTCCCACCTCTAGGCCTGAAGAAGCCATTGGAGGGAGTTTCCAGAATTGTGTGGTGATTGATGAATAGATAAGGCCACTGTATATAAAGTCGGCCTGCATGCAGTTAAGGGAATCAGCCACTCCCCTCCTCCACCTCTCATCTCCACTGGTTGACTCCAACTGGAACCAAAGGGTAGGGGAGCTAAGGAGGTAAGCGACCCTTCTGGTCCCACAGCAGTCTAGAGGAGGAGGAAGAGTGGCTCTAGAGGGGGCAAATGACAGCCTTCCAGCACACATATGACGTCCTTATTCACTCTTCTGAACTCTGCACTTTTTTAAACCTAACATATAAAGATCTTCCCATATTGCTATACATAAAATTTACAATTTCTTTGTCACAGCAGCATACAATTTCATGCATGTACCATACTTTTTAAACAGTCACTTTATTGATGAACATTTGTATTACCTTGAATCCTGGTTTAAAGATCCTTGGTGCATATCTTACTAGGTGCCTCATCACATGGCAAACAGATTAAGAATATGTGAAAACCACACATATGCACACACAAAAACAAATTATAAAATACTGATAGAAAGGGCCCAATCCAACCCCCTTTTTACAGATTAGTTTGCATATAGTTACACTTCCAGCTACAAGAACAAGGACTAGAATGCAGACCACCAAATTCTAGTCCAATGTTCCTTCTACTTTTGATTAGGAAACTCTTTAATCAAGGAGCTTTATTTTTGAGTCCATCCACGAGAAACCCGTTGAAATACTTGATATTTTGAATTCATTTCCAACATTGGCTAATGCTATGAAAAGGGAGGATTTCTTCTCCTACTTTTTGGTGACAAGTCACATTTTAAGATATGAATTAATAGGAATTCATACAGGAAATAAAATTATTCCAGTAATAGATCATAATTTAAATAGGGAAGGTGACTGCCAGGAGGGGCTTTATCAAATGTGAGTGGCTGAACAAATTATTGATGAAAGTCAAAGAGGGGTCTGTCCCACTACTAGAATTCAAACAAACAGCAACTCCTGTACCTTACTGACAAAGAGGAGGAAGTGAAGGGAAGACAAAGCTGTGGAGGAGGTGGGAACTGGATAAATACTGGAAAGAGGAGAGGGAAACTGAGACCCCATTTAAGAAAATGTCCACAGAAAAGGATACCAAAAGAGAAGTTACAAAAAGGAGGTATAAATGGATAATAAATATATTTCGAAAGTTAAGCTTTACTAGTAAGCAAAGAAAAACCAATTAAAAGATATATTTTAAAAAGCTATGAAACTGGCAAAGATTAAGCTATAATGGCAAGAGTGTGAATGAAGGGTATGCATTCATGGTCCCTGCTGGAATGTAGAGAAACAAAGCTTTTCTTGAAAGAAAACTGAAAGAAATACTCTTCGATCAACAATTACAACTAGTTTTGAGAATTAGTTCTTAGTAAATAATCAGACATACGCACAATGGATACTTATCACAATTGTAATGGTGAAAAACTGGAATAAACTTAAATGGCCATTTAATAGGAGACTGGTGAAATAAAAGACAGTACCATCTTGCAATGTGCTATTATACAGCCACTAAATGTTTAGAGATGAACATTTCAGAAACTGAAAAGTCCTCATGATAAAGAAAAAAGTTATACCATAGTGTGATACACTTTATATTAGGTACAAAAACCTAACCGAAATGCAAAAGTACATATTTAGAAAGAAAAATAAGGAATGAATGCCCCAAGACACCATCAGTGACTATTTCTTTGTGAACAGACACGTGATTTCTATTTACACCGGAGTGCACGTCTTTATTTTTCCAAAACATTCGATACTGTTAACCCTTGAACAACGCGGGGGTTAGGGCGCCTAGGACGCGCGCGGTGGAAAATTCACGTACAACTTAAGACGGCCCGCCACATACACGTATTCCCAACCGCGGATCCAAAATACAGCTGACCCGGGTTCAAACGGAGCAGTCCAACCCGCGCTGTTCAAGGGTCACGGATACATTTTTAATGATGTCTGTGGTTGGGCTACTCCTGGCCCAAAACGGCTAGGGAAGACGGTACTTACTTTATTTGTACAAGTCGCCTCCCTCTACTTCAGGACTGTCAGCAACTTGGGCTCCTTTTCTAAGGAGTCGGGAACGGGCGGCTCCTTTCCTCTGCCGGAACCGCCGCAGAGGCCCAATACTAAAGGAACCTGGGGCTGTTGCCTAGCAACTGTCGGGGCCACTTAAAGAGACGGAAACGGAATAGGAAAACGCACAGGCGCAGTAGTCGAACGCGCGGTCGTCCCCGTTCTACAGCCCAAAAAACAGGAAGTTATTCTGGTCAGCATCCACTTTATCCGGCTTTGACCGGATGCCTTAGAGTCACTTCCGCCCTTATTAAAGATGACCGACTTTTCTTTTCCCTCCCACCATCTCAGACTAGAGGCGGGACCTCGTCCGTTAGACCGAATGCGATTGGTCGCAACGCGACTCCGAAGTGTCTTGATCAGAGTGCCAGAGGAGGGCACTCTAGCCTTAAGGACCAGGTCGCGTTATATCCCATAGTTCGAGCCAGGCACCCGCATTTTCCGGGTTGCTCTCTATGGTCTCTTTGGGCACATAGAAGGGGCCGCACAAAGTATTATGGGACAATAATGGCCGCTTTCAAGGTGTGAGTTTTCGCTCTCTAGGGCTATCGGAGTGAGGAGTGGCGGCGCCGGCGCCCCAGAATCCGGGACAGAAGGGCCCGAGAATCGGGCTTGGTGAGGTGAGTGTCCCTTCTTCCTTCCTGACCTGCCCTTCGCCAAACATGGCGGCTCCAGGTGGCGGATATCGGTCCGTCGCTCAGGTTCGGGCCTGGGTTTGGAAAGTCTCGTTCCTGTCACTCGACTTGCCTTACTCAACCTAGGGATGCTGCGCAGGTCCGGCCTGGCCCGTCTTTGCTCATTTTTCTGGTTATATACTGCTGTCTAGCGCGGCCTCACTGAGGTCCAGGGATGCTGCCCATGGACACCCTTCTTTAGGTTTCCCACTCCCAGACTGACGCCGAGCCCAGTAGGACTTCTTGTGTCTGCCTCTTTTTTGTCACAGTGGTATCTCTACCAGCTGATCTCCTCTACTGGAATGTTAACTCCAAGAGGGTAGGATTTTTGCTTCTTTTATTTTATTCTCTATCCCTATTGCCCAGAACAGCGATTGGCTTACAGAAGGTACTCAGTAATTGTTGAATGAGTAAATCCAGTCTTTTTCTCGCACCCCATGTTGCTTCTTTGCCGTTAGTCCTCCGGAATCCAGTCCCTTAACTCCTTATTTGTTCTCAGCAGCTAGCTAAATCTAGCTGTCAGACTCCTTGTCCTGTGCTGCTGGAATCTTTCCTTGTTGTCTCTAGAAATGTTTCATTTCCTGTTTTCCTTTAATCAGTTTAAATTCATTCATCCATTTATTCATCAAACGTTCATTTTGCTAGGCACTGAGTACAGCATCAACGAGACAAAGTTCTCTCTTCTGCATAGAATGGCATTCTAAGGGTGTATTTTCTAGTTCAGATTACTTCTGAGTTGAGCCTGTATATTTCTGCCTTTTTGTTTCGATTTTGGCACATGTACAGATGTCACCAATACGCAGCTTTCCCTTTTCTCTTCTACCCGATGACATTTTTCAAAATGCAGTTCTTGTTTCTGTGTCCGTATATGTGTCTAGTCTGTTTGACAATATTCCTCTATAGAGCTGTGCATGTTAATTCAAGCTGGGCAGATCATTCTGGATTCTGGTGGTACGATACCCCTTGACAGTTCATTTGCTTCATTGACTTGTTGGAATGAGGGGAATTGTCCAAACACTCAGAATCAGCGTATGTTTATAAGTGGATGGTGTGTAATGGGAGGTAAAGAGGAATTTGTTACAAGTAGTGCCAGGAAATCTTACAGTCTTCTAAATACTTTTCAGAAACACCATTTTCTAAACTAGAGCTTCTCATCAATATTTTTAGTGAGCATGGATTGTTATTAAACAGATTTTGACTGCTGTGAGACAGGTTTTTTCCTACAAAACACAGCTGAGCTAAAAAAAAGCCACTGAAGTAAGGATCACATGGATGGTAGCCATATACCCCAGCAAGTCTGCTGTATCTGTAGTTTAAAGGGAGGGAGATGTAGAACTCATGTGAAAAAATAGTGTGGGACTCAATCAGTATATAGAAACACAGCAAGTAATATAATGTAACAGTTACATTTATGTAACTCTGTGGTTTCAGAGAACTGTCTTGTTTGATTCTCACAATAACCTCATGGATTAGGTAAAGCAGAAAGTATTTCCATTTTACAGATACATAAATTATGCCCAACCAAACATTGAGTTATTTGCTTATAATTTAACAGGTAGAAAATGTTAAGAACCTGGAAGTCAGGTTTCTGACTTCAAATCTAATGGTGTTTCCTCTGTACTCCCATTGTAGATACCATCATGCTCTAGTAAGTGTGTCATAGTGAGGTCTGAGGATGATACTTTCTTGGTCCTGGTGTTTAGGGTGGACATGTGTGTGTCTCTGTCTATTTCTGATGTATGTTGGGGTAGGAGTAGGAGGATCTTTTGAGATTGTCAATGACTTGATGGAAAGGTCTTAGCAAGAAGTACTAAAGAAATCTTGGTCTTAAGGGGGAGGTTAACCCCCTAAATGTACCTATAACTACAGTTATTTTGGGCTATAGCAGAGCCAAGTCTTCACCCCTCTTATGTCTGATACCAAATGGTTTGTCTTCCTTCCGGAGAAATCCCAGAGCCTGTCATGGAGGATACCAGTGAGGATACTTCGATCCATAGATTGGAAGGCACTGACCTAGACTCTCAGGTTGGTGGTCTTATTTGCAAGACCAAAAGTGCAGCCAGTGAGCAGCATGTCTTCAAGGCTCCTGCTCCCCGCCCTTCACTGCTGGGACTGGACTTGTTGGCTTCCCTGAAACGGAGGGAGCGAGAGGAGAAGGACGATGGGGAGGACAAGAAGAAGTCCAGAGTCTCTTCCTACAAGGACTGGGAAGAGAGCAAGGAGGACCAGAGGGATGCTGAGGAGGAGAGCAGTGACCAGGCTGGCCGAAGTAGCCGAAAAGACAGGTAAAGGCTTTGGGATGCTTTGACCCAAAAGAGATGAAAATAGAGGCTAGAAAACAGTGTCCCATGTTTATCTCTCAGTTTTCTTGTTAGACATGTAGAGCTTTATGATTTTATTATGATTCTGTAATATCGAGAGTAGATAAGAATTTCGTATTTTCTTCAGATTTGTGGGGAATGGTTAAAGGCGAATAAAGAGTAGTTGATGGAGATTAGAAATGCTTGGGGTTGTTGCTGTACATAAGCCTACAGTACCAGGGGATAAAGTGGAAAGAGACAGGTCACTTGTTTGGCATGGCCAGAGGTTTTGGGGCAGGGTTTTCCTCCTATGGAGGGGCTGTTTACCAGGTGCCCTGCTTGTTTCAGACATTATCGATCTGCTCGGGTAGAGACTCCATCCCATCCTGGTGGTGTGAGTGAAGAGTTTTGGGAACGTAATCGGCAGAGAGAGCGGGAGCGGCGGGAACATGGTGTCTATGCATCATCCAAAGAAGAAAA